TGATGTTGTGTAGTTATTGTACAGCTGTAATAGTTAAGGTCGGGTTTTCTCTCGCTATCTTGAGGGACAGGTGAATGCTGGGCCGAATCCAGATGAGGCACAGAGAGACTGCAGAGCCAGACTGCTGCCCTCAGACACACGAACCAGCTGTCACAGCTGTGCAGCCTACAGCAGCGTGTCCTGGGATGGAGGTGGGATGCTATCTCCTGTCTCTTTTCCCTTTTCCATTTTCTGATAAGTCCGGTGGCTGACACTAGGAAGACATGAAGATTGAACCTCTCCTGCTTTCGTTCCCTAATTTTCCAGGATGTCCAGGGGCAGACAGTGGAGAGACAAGTATGGCTGGGATAGAGGTTGGATATTCTCTCCTATAATCTCTTCCCTGATTTTCTGGGATGTCCATAAAATTGACAGTTGGAAGACGGGTATGGAGGAGGAGTTGGAATGGAGGTTGATGCTCTCTCCTGTCTCTCTTTTTCCCTAATTTTCCAGGATGTCCAGAGGCTGACACTGGGGAGACAGGTATGGATTGATGGTCTCTCCCGTCTCCAGCAGGGGCAGCCAGTGGGAAGACCAATGTGGATTGAGGTTGATGCTTTGTCCTATGTTCATTTCTGTTGTTTTCCAGAATGTCCAGTGGCAGACAGTGGGAAGATGACGGGCTGTCCAGTGGCAGACAGTGGGGAAAACGGGTATGGATGAGGAGTTGGAATGGAGGTTGGATGCTCGCTCCTGTCTCTCTTTTCCCTAATTTTCCAGAGTCCAGAGGCTGCCAGTGGGAAGATGGGTATGAAAGGTGTTGGGATTGACATTGGACTGTATTTTCCTTAAATTTCCAGGCTGGCCAGAGGCTGATAGTGGGAAGACGGGTATGTATGAAGATTGAACCCTCTCCTGTACTCTTGTTCCCTAATTTTCCAGGATGTCCAGGGGCAGACAGTGGAGAGACAGGTATGTATGATGATCTGAAACCTCTCTTCCTTGCTTTCAGGGCCACTGCGATCTGCTCTTCTCCTCTACACTCTACAGAGCGGGTTACCGAGCCCGGGAGCTGTCCAGGTCTGAGGTCAGTGGGCACGTCAGTTCACAACAAGTATGGATGGAGAGATCGGACATAGGTTGGACTTTTTCTACTGTATTATTTTCCTTAATTCTCCAGGATGTCCAGAGGCAGACAGTGGGAAGACGGGTTCGGGTTGGAATGGAGGGGGGGTACTCTCTCCTGTCCATCTTTCTCCTAATTTTCCAGGATGTCCAGAGGCAGACAATGGAGAGACGGGTATGGTTGGGATAGAAGTTGGATGCTTTCTCTGTCATCTTTTTCCCTAATTTTCCAGGATGTACTCAAAATTGGAGGAGGAGGAGTTGGAATGGAGGTGGGATGCTCTCTCCTGTCTCTTTTCTCTTATTTTCCAGGATGTCCAGAGGCTGACATTGGGGAGATGGGGATGGATAGGAAGATTAGAATGGGGATTGATGGTCTCTCCTCTCACTCTCTTTTCCCTAGTTTTCCAGAGGCTGCCAGTGGGAAGACGGGTATGGCTGGGAGTTGGGATGGAGGTGAGGAGCTC